GGTGCTTGTTTATCTTCAGGTCTTTAAGGCTTCAGGTGCTATATCTTTTGGTAGCTGAGCACCATCAGCTTTCTTCACCACACTTGCTTGTGCACTGCTTGTCCATTTTCACATCTGACTTAAATGTCTCACGTGCACAGGTACGACAAGAGACACATGGAGCATGTGCACACGTGTTATAAGAATTATAAGAGCCCCCAATAAAATGATGTTTTAATTGTTTTTAAAAAGAAAGAAAGACAAGGGAAGGGGATTTTCCCACAAACTTTCTGAAGCATCCCTACGTGTGCCCCCTCCTGTACAGAGACTTTCCTTTGGGATCTGACCTTGGGAAGCATCATAGGCTCACCTGGCTGTGCCCATTTCCCACAGGCGGACACTGGCGGCGGCCCCTCGCGCACCTTCCGTTCCAGCCCACGGCTCTAAGGGCCACCGTCAGCTTCACCTACATCCAACTGTTGTTTGGGAGCCTCTGGGAGCCCTCGGTATTTCTGACCATAAGCTTAAGTTGAATTTGGGCTCAATTAAAACTTAAGAGGAGATACAATAGTAAGAAATGTGCTTGTAGGCTCTGTAAGACGTTATAAGAAAGATGTTTCTAGTCAACTGGTAAGTTTAGTGGATTCCATGTTTCAGCCCCAGCTTTCAGCAAACTGCATTTGCCGTGAACCAGGCACACGAAGAAACAATTCCAGGGGACTAGATGGCCCCCCAACCAATCTTCCCACACACACACAGACACATACGGACACGCACCCACATGGACACTCACCCACACGGACACTCACACACAAACTAAAGGACACACAGAGTGACCTCCAGGAAGGCCCCAGCATGCAATGGTCCTGCGCCCTGGTGTGACCTCTAGCCCACAGAGCCTGGGCAGCTCCTGCATGACCCTGGCCTGGCGTCACCCCGAGGGTCAGCCTGGAACAGATCAAACACGTTCACAAACGTGCTCTCGTGCTGCTCTGAGGTTTCGGACATCTCCCCTCTGGGCTGCTGTGCTAAAACCTAACCAAGAAAACGAAACCCACGTTTCCCCGGGGCCCTGCTTTGGCCTCGCTCAGCTCCCTCCATTCCAGCAGAACCGGGGGACCGGATGCTCCTGAGGGCCAGCACCACCTGGGACTTCCATGGGGCCCCATCCACGCCGTCCCCGAAGCACAAATGATTCAGTGATCCTGAGACCCACCCGCCAGCCCCGGCCCCACCAGCTCTGCCCTTTAGGAAAGTTACCCACACTCTCAGGCCTCCAGTTTTCCCCTTCTGTATTGATGACAGCAATAATCCGAACCTGATCTAAAATGATACCATGTATAAAGGCTCCCCAAACAGCCAGCCACTCCACCAAGCTCCGGGTGAGCCTCAGCCGTAAGGGTTATGCTAGTTTTCTCCGCTTCTCAGCCTGGACCCGCGGGCCTGCGCATGTCACACTGACACACTGGCCCGGGTGTGGAGCCTTTCCCCTCCCGCTCTCCAAATTCTACGCCTGCTCTAAGACCATCTCAGGGTTTGAGTCCCCTCCCCCAACCCTCATGCTTATTGTCCACCCAATGCCCCTGTTGGAGGGCGGCTGAGAGTGGACCGATTCGAGCCCCTGGTCCGTGTGCAGTGGGGGCTGCTGAAGTCCAGATGGGCCCAGGACACCTCGGCCACATTCAGCAAACCCACACCTTCGAAGGACCCAGAGAAAGTGTCCCCAGACACCCTGCACCCCTGGCCAACAGAGCCCCAGAGAGAGAGGGTGGCAGTGGGGTTTTTCTTCCCAAACTTTTAAAGATTCAAACTTCCCAGGTGTTTGGAAGCCTGCGACCTTTGTCAGCCTTGCAGGGGGAGCCCTGAGTCGTCGTCCTCCTCTCCTGTCCCTGATGGCATCAGAGCCAGGCCTCTCCCAGACCTCAGACATAGGCTGACCGGAACCAATCCAAACAAAGGCTCCCTGTGCGCCCACCCAAAGCACCAGACCCACGCTGCAGCCACCACCGCCACCGCCGGGCCCAGACCTCAGGCCTTGACACCCAGAGCATGAACCTGCCCCTGCGGGCCCCCAACCCAGCCTCATGCCTCCCCTTCAGCAGGGACCACGGACCTCCTGCTCGGGCACTGAATCCCACACGCAGGGCCCCATGGGCTGTGTCTCCATCCCCCACCCCCAGCAATGAGGTCCAGGATCTGAAGGACAAGGAAAAGATCTGCTGCCTGTTTTTACCACGACTCTGCTTCTGTCTGTCCCCCACCTGCAAAACCCTGCCCGTGAGGTCCATGTAGCCGCTCAGCAAACCCTGGCCTGGGGAGGTGCGCAGTCAGCGCGAACCAGTGTTGTCTAGACAA